AGTTAAGACGAATTCTTTTCCATTTCAGAACTTCGCTCTTTTCTGTGTATATATTGATTTGAAGTAACTAGAGAGCTGCGTTCGCATTGCATTTTGAATCTCTCGTTCCGAGACACGAATCCACGTTGAACTCAATGCGCGAGCGAAAGACTAATTTAGATTAGGAATATGCGTTCAGCTGTGATGCTGTTTTGAAGCAGTAAAGGCTGTTTTCGCAAAAAACATGGACGTTGTTTACGTTGTTCTCCCTTCACGAGTAGAATAGCTCTGCTGTGAAGCGGCTCTACATTGCTGCTGCTTGAGCGTTAAGTAGAATGACGCGTTCTTTTCGCTGGAACTCTTTTTCCTCGATCGGATCTCGGTGAGGACTTATTAACACCAAGCTTCGCTTGAAATTGTACTGTTTCATATTTCAGAGTCTATCCTTTCCATTTTTGAATGAATACCCTCACATTAATGTGTTCTTTCTCATTCCTTCTTACGTCTTTGAAAATAATAAATAACTACCTGGTTATTCACGAAATTCTATTCCATTTGTACAAATTACAGTTTCAATTGAAATTCATAATCATTTTGTATGTTTTAGAGGAGCACGACATGTATCAACAGCACCAAGCTTACGGTCGGTATCGCTTCCAAAAGGCCCATCTCCTCAATCCACACCCGACTTGTCGCATGCGTCATCCGTGGCCAATGTGCATCCACGTCATACAGGGCCGTCACCTGTAAGGGTACCACTAACACAGAACGAGGTTTGTCTGCTTCTCTTTATGGGTGATCCCACCACTTGGTGCTTGTAGACTCCACCGCCGACCGACGCCATTGCTTGTCACGTGTTGACAACAGATTGAGTGAGTCGCTTTTGCGCAGCGATCCATCGGTGTCCAGTGTTGTCGACACGTGGCCAGGAACGCCGTCGGTCGGTAGGTCATTCGGTGGAAACAAGGCACCTCGGTGTAGTCTAAAAGAACCCACTCGGATCGCTTGGCTTGCACCACTCTCCTTTTTGTGACGAAGTCGGGATACTTGGCTACACGCTGCCTGCCTTGGGCCAAAGAAGGGGAGTAATGAATAGATGATCAGTTACTGTGTACGCCTATGTTGATCAATATCACCGTAGCAAGGTTTTATCCTACTTCCTTCACTATTTCGGAATTTAAAGGCTGCGACTGAAAAAACTCTTCTATCAATGCAGAAGGTCGATTTGGGTGGTATATGCCGGTATCTTTCGGTGACATGATGTTGTCATCGCTGTACTTCCTAATATCTACGCCTTCTTTTTTCCGACTACGATAGATAGAACGGACTCTAGTAACCACTCAATTTGTTCCTGTCGCAAGCTAATGTAGTACACTCCAGCAAACCCTCCTCAAGGGACGTTAAGCAAATCATTCCTTTCATTCAAGACTCGTGAACGATTCTCATTGCCCAGCCGCCATTGTCCTTTCTACTATTAGGTGCTTTCAGAGTTCAACAACCGGGCGTTGTTTCAACCGACTTGGGATCGACCGACAACGTTGCTGGCCACGCGTTGACAATGCAGGACAGATTGCCTTCAGAGCCACGTGCGCTGTACCGATGGGTGCTCAGTGCTGTCAACGTGTGGCCAGCAATGCATCGGTCGTCGTCGATTGTAGCAACGCACTTCGTTGAACTCTGAAAGCGCCCATTGAAGAAGCTCTCTGCTCTTGCATGTAATCAAGAACTGCATTGTCTCTTCAAAGCGCGGTAACGACGCTTACTTCCCAGTCGTCCCGCCTGCCCGTACCCAAGTTTCGCCTACACGTACCGAAGTCTTTAAAGGGCCTCAGCCAAGGCAGAAAGGACTGTAAAATTGAAAAAAGTGGACGCAAAACCTAATGTTCTTTGCTTTTGTCACTACGGCGTTAGCTGCGTATTTAGCGGTATTCATACGGTCATAGAAATACATTCAAAAGAGATAACATATGTGGGTAAAAATACAGTGAGATTTTTAGTTGCGGAAGCCAAAAAAGGTGGTCTCCGAGTACTACAAGAAGCAGAATGAGCTCTTGGAAAATTTCAAGAACGACAGTGAACAAATTCTGGTTAGATGTTTTCTTTTTGTTATATTTCCGTCCCAAACCACTTTCCTGAGGTCGGGTCGAGAAGTTTCTATGTTCTTCGCCTGCTTTTCTGTATTATTACATTGAATTTTCAGGTTTTCCAAAAAGCGCGAACGCGGCAGCGCCTTCAATCGTCCACAAGTACTGAAGGCGACGCAACACAAAAGGGCGATGCTGATGATTTGAACGTGACTTTGTCTCATAAAGACTCAAAAGTCAGCAGCAACAATCTGTCTTCTTCCATAGAGACGACGGCACCTCTGCTGAAGAACACGGTAGCCTTCAAGAATTTCTATTTAAACTTGCTATTTATTGTTTTCTTTGATGCCTAGGATGGTGAGGAGGACGTTGAAATCGGTAACGATGTCGCAGTTCATGTGCCTCTAGTTAATCGATCTGAGCGGAAGTCGTCCATTGCTTCAGATATCTCAGTTTTGTGAGTGGTTGCTAGTTTTTCTTTTCAACTTTTTTTGTTTGTTGAGTATTTGTTCTTACTCCTCACCCATATCGTGGAGTATGAACCGCTTCATTTTTAAAAACTTCCATCTTCAAAAAGATCTTTCGATCTTCGTTCTGATACTGTGTTGTGAAATAGAGGCGAAGCAATGAAACAGCTGCAGAGTAGCATGTGCTTTCAGAGCAAAACACGACGCCGCATTAGATGCTGCGCGAGCAACTACCAAAGCTGCTTCACGTTTGGCGCACGCTACATTGGTTGTAAATATATCATTGATGATTGCGAAGGTGAGTATCCATATCTCAAGTTCTCCTCTACCGTTAGGTTTTACAGGTATTTAGAGAGTTTTCAATCGAGGTCTGCCCTCCCCTTGTACCTCGGCAATGGTAGAGGGGAGAGTAAAGGAACGGCCTCTGGAAAAAGAACAGAGCACAAAAGACGGATTGGCCATTAAAGGCACAGTTCACAACAATGTGTTATCTAGCTCTAATTTAAGTGAGATCCATGGAAGTTATGGTGCGCAGTGGTGCAAAAACAACGAAGGGTGCGCAAAAACCGGCGATTTTTAAGAAATGTGAGACTTCAAAAAAGTAGTGGGAAAAGAGGTTTTATGGGATTATTATGTGTCCGTAAACGTCTTGGTGTCTCCTACATGTGTACTATCCATCGGCGTCCTAACGCCTCCTTGTGATTGCGCACCTTCACCAAAAAAACATAACACGGCCATTTTTAGGTGTGTTCGTCAGCCAGGCCAGGTCAATAGACGACTTCAACAGACCACTTATAACGCCCTGTTGAAGTCGTCTGTTGACCCACCTACGTCTCACGTGGGGACCACAGGTTCATCCCCGAGAGGAATCTCAGAAACCACTTTTGTCGTGAACAGTGCCTTCAAAGTTAGTTAAGCATCGTAGCTTTCACATAGTGAAAAAGCTCATATGTCATTATCTGACAAGAGCTACTCACAAGGGTTCCGTTTCTCGATAGCTACAAAATAGGGTGAGATTTCTTTGTTCACTAAAAGTAATTGTGTTTTCAGGCTATAGCATCGTACTTATCTGGATCGTTGTCGATTTTGTCGTCGTTGGTTGACTCCTGTGTTGACATCACATCTGGTCTCGTAATCTCGATTTCAACCCGAATGATCAAAAAAAGGGATCCGTACCTCTACCCCCGAGGAAGGACGAGACTTGAACCGCTATCACTGGTGAGTGCTTTGGTTTCTTTGCTGAGTTGCTCAGAGCTTGGATCGCTGTCAATTATTTAAGTAAGCTGTTTACCATTGGGTGAAATTATGAGGTACATAGTGTGGGATCATCTTACTCAGCTCACCTAAAATAAGATCTTTGTACTTTATTTTTCTGTACTGGTTTCGAGACACAAGATTTTGTAGTGTTTTGGTTTTGTTAATCAAATTGTACAAATTTGTCCTCGACTGCAGTTAATGGGGAGAAGGAAGGGGTTTGAATTTGAATTCTTTGGATGTATTTGGCGAGCACTAATCCTCTGAGAAGAGCAGCTCCGTTCCATCACGGATCCTTTTTTAGATTATCATAAGTGTTGTGATGGGAGTCGCTAGCGTTCAATTGATCGTCGGTGCGTGTGGTCGGATAGCTGCAGCTTATCAATTTCATGTACATGGTATGTTTTTTGATCCTTATATGCTTGGCCACACCGTTGACTCCCGTCGATACCATAGCGCCAGTCCTCCGTAAGCCGAGGACTTCTCCGTTTCTGTTAACAAATGGTTGTTCTATAACCAAACCCAAAGGGAAAGAGGCATGCTCAACGATGAAGCTGAATGCTGCGCGACTGTCGATATAGTTCGCGGTGCCCAATTATATTTGTCATAACAACTGATCGTTATCTTTATCTTGGGAGGCCTGATGTCCACTCTTCAGTTGGTAGTCGTGTCATCCTCCCAGGACCCATTCGTTCCTGAAATTGATCGCCATCTCTGTTTAAATATTTTCTCCAAAGGATTGCTCTAGGCATTCAATTAAAATCATGGGTCCCTCTCAGGGACTACACTTATGTATAGCTAATGAGCGATCCCAATAGACCGACTGCTCACCAGCTGTATGTAAGATTGAACTTGGCAAGAGAACCATTTCTAGCCAAAATGCTCTCATATGTTAACCTTGAAACCTCAAAATAATGAGTTGAGTAGGTCGGTCAAATCTTTTGGCCAAATTTCGTTATTCTTACGAATGAGGTTTGGGCTGAAACCGTACTGACTGCGTTTTTTNATGTTTACGTTCGTTTCTTCAGGTATTGGTGCGGAGCCGTTGCTGGACGTGTCGCTTACTTCTGCACTGATTATGGTTGGCACAGTAGTTGTAAAGTTCACGTTGTTTTGTATATGTCAGAAGTGAGTATTTGTTATTCAAATGGTTTTCTTTTTGTTTTTCAACTCTTTTAGTTCATTTTAAAACCTACCACTTTCTAATACTGTGGTCCTTTCTTGGCGAAGAACATACGAACAAGATTTGCTATAAATGATGATCCCCAAGTCTGTAAAGATCAGAGTGACTTTGTTATTTTCAAAGGTATAAATCCGATCCATCGATAACTGTTCTTGCCATGGATCATAGAAATGACTGTTTGTCGAACACTGTAGCGCTTGCATGTGCCTGGCTCGGTAATAAGTGAGTGATAATCTTGCTGTTTCGAAGTTGAACTTGTAAAAACATATTAATTATCAGTTTTATTAAATGAGTTGCTTCGGTTTGAAGGTTCTGGTATTACCTTGATCCGATTGGTGCTATTCTGGTGTCGATCTATATTCTCTATACATGGGTGACTACTGGTTGGGATCATCTGTCCAAACTCAGTGGAAAGTCGGCGAAACCAGAATTTATTAATCGCATAATCAAGGTGAATTTTCAAGAGTTTGCATTTGCTACACTATAATGGAACCATCACGAAAGTTGTAAACTTGTNTATACATGGGTGACTACTGGTTGGGATCATCTGTCGAAACTCAGTGGAAAGTCGGCGAAACCAGAATTTATTAATCGCATAATCAAGGTGAGTTTTCAAGAGTTTGCATTTGCTACACTATAATGGAACCATCACGAAAGTTGTAAACTTGTACTTTCTTTTCCTTTCACCATAAATTTCTGCATTCCATGCCCGACTAAATTTGTCTGAGAATCTCCCAGCCTCTGCCGCATATTGATATTATTAGCGGATTTTTTTTATATGGTTTAAGGGTTACTTTTTCGTAATTATTCTGATAAGAAAGTTTTTGTAATACCGTGGTGCATATTTAGTCCGCTGCTCTGAGTGGGTGGCTTTAATAGAATTTTTGTATGGTAGGCTCAGTTTTAGATTCTGATGCGCCAAACCCTTCTTGACTTCGAAAGCGATTTACGTGGGTGACTTTTAAAGCTAGTCAGCTTGGCGCTTGAAACGGGCGAGTCTGAGTTTTAGTGGATTTTGAAATTTCATTAGGCAAATATTTATGAAATCATTATTATCGCTGAGGTAGTGTGCCTACAATGTATTCATAATTTGTGTTTGATATAGAGAAATCACCTTCACTGTAATTATTTCCATTTTAGGTTTGTATAGATCATGATCCTCGGATTTCACATCTTGACACCGTCTATGTATATCATTTTGGTACTAAATTTTTAGTTGAAGTAAGTTTTTTTTCTGATTTTATGTTCGCTCTTTTTGTTTTGTTTCCATTCAACTTTGATAAAAACTGTGCTGTATTGAAGAAGTTTTGTTATAGGTACATATAGTGTTAGACGAGAGCATGCCCTTGAAAGTTGCACATGATATTAGTGAATCATTGCAGATTAAT